GGACGGCTAGCGCAGATAGCCATCGTGTAGCTTTGCGCGAAATTCAAAACAAACAAACAAACATACTTTCTGATTTTCTAACCCTAGAATGGCTGGAGTGTTATTACCGGTAAGACTGATTCGTTTGAACTTCGAGGGTTTCCTTAACAAGGAGGGCTATACCGCGTTTACCAGGGGCGGCGTGTTTTTGAATAGATTTTTAGTTTAGGAGTTTGAAGTTAGCTTGAGCGTTGAGGGGAGTTTCGTTAATGGTTGTCAGCTTTAGTAGAATTAGTTCGTTGTAATAATTCGTATTTTTTGTGTTCTAATCCTCCCTGTATGTTTACATGAAGAAAGCAAACCAGTTAAGTATTAGAACGAAGACATAATAATAGGAATGGCTTACCTGGATAGGCGCATACGGGTTTTTCTCCTCTTGACGTGTTGGGTAAGCAGTACTGCGTCAAAGGTATCCATGTCAAAATAATTCGACGCGGCGATACCAACTTGTGTTGCCAATAGTGGTATATAGTTGATATCTGTTGAATGACAGATCAGCATGACATCTGTAATGAACACTGTTAATCTGGAGATAAAGTCTTGTCTGTCGAAGAGACAACGCATGTATGCTGTGAAACGGAGCGGATTGACTTAGCTGCTTCGGCGTACGATCTGGTCTTGGAGCTGATGTCCCACATGTGCTGGTCACCGGTACTATTGAGATTACCATTGGTCTTTGTACCTGGGATGCTGTTCGGTGCTGCTGGATGTTTTAGGGAAGACGGGTTACTTATACTTGGGGCATCCCCTGTAGGAGGCAGCGCGAGGTCCACCACAATTAGCGCAGCTCGTTACTTGGCGGTAGTTAGAAGATCACGCCATCTACATACTTTCTGATTTTGTAACCATTCATTCTTATTTAAAATAAAGTTGTTTATGCAGTGTTTTATTATGTCAATGATTTCTCTAATATTTCTAGCAGTCATATTATTCGGTTGAGCCCACATAACAGTTTTTTTTCCGTTGAATGATTTGTCCAATACGATTACATGTATAGCTAATACAGAGTTTTCACTTTTGTTTTTAACAATTCTTTTAGATTTTAATTGTGGATTATAAAATGTTATTCGTTTGAGGATTTTAACTTTGTTCAGCCCCATGTTAATAATCGTCAAAAATGATAGAATGAACCTCTACTTTTCTATCTGTCTTATTCTTGTCTGAATTTTTTTCAATGTTATTGATCTCTGTTGATATTATCCAGTCACAGATTGATATTTATAAACCTGATAAAGAGCTATGGAATCCTAAAACTGTCTTTAAACATTTTACTATTAGTTGTGTTTTTCTACTAAGAATATAGTAATTACAAAACTTATGCAAAATACAATAATACTGTTTCATCCCAAACTTCTTATTAATTTTTGTCGGTATATTTTTGAAACTGCTATGATATGAAACAAGAAGTTGAAATTACATTTCGTATTTATAATTTTACAAAATATATCACTGTTGTATAATATTTCGATAGTATTTGCACAAAGTTGCAAACAAATTTAATGAAAGTTTGTAATAATAATAATAATATAAAAAATCGTAACCATTTCATTAATAATAAAGTTAAATGTATTTCTGTAGGTTATCTTTAATCCGTTTTTTTGAAGTTCGTATTTTCAATATATTTTAAGTATTTTTATTATACAATACTACTAGAAAAATGCCAGCTTTACGTTTGACACGAGAGAGCGAATATTCCACATTTGTGGAAGGTCTAGGACCGGGTCAGTTTGTTGGTAGGCAAGCGTTAGCCTCTCCATACTTAGGGGATATACAGCTGAGTATCTCTGATAGAAAAAGGAAGCTTGAAATTGAAGTTATCAGGGCAAGGGGTCTTCAACCAAAGCCGGGAGCTAAAAGTTTACCAGGTCAGTGGTGGTTTGATTTTCAATGATAATTAATAAAATTGTATTCTAAGCTGAATTTTGGAGAGACTGTTGGATTTAACGTTAATGTCAAGGAAACCGAATGATCCCTATAAATTTTGTTTTACTTTATATATATTAGGTCGTCAGGAAATTAATGTCGCTTTTTTTAGATTCAAAAACTCGAACAGCTTATTAAATGAAATAGTTTCCATCCTTATCAATGATGCTTTTCCATCTTACAATCAGGTTGTTAATGCCCTGATTAAAGAAACCACTTGGCTTTGAATAAAAAACATGTCCTCTTTAACACTTTCCACATTTGCATACGTTTTCCCATTAAGATGGTGTGGCAGAAAACGAAAAATATGGTAA